CAGGGTAAGGTATTGTGATTTACAATGTACGTTTGCACGTTTTTATGCACTCTCATTGTACTAGTATAATCTCTCATTCGGCATACTTTTCATTTCAAATTTTCGCTTAACGTTATTAAATCATCATCAAGATCATCATTATTGTGATCATTAATATCATCACCATGAATATAAAAATATCTTGATTCCCAAATGGCATGAATTTAAGCATGATATTACATTTGGAACATACATCAAGACACTGCAGATAGGGACTGTGGATGACCTATCTCAGAGTTAGCAGGCCTGAGGCTTTCGCAGGCTATGTTGCACTTCACGGTATCAGGATCAAACATCCGTTGAAAACTACTGTATTTCTTAATTCACCTGATAATCTGAACTGAAATTTTGAAACAGATTATTAAATTCAACACTATTGAGCAATCGAAGAGAGAAAAAAATACTACAGAAAGAAGTAATTCGGGAGTCAAAAATATAATAATACACTATCAAGTGATATGCAATTGCGAAAATTCGACGAACCATTCACAACACTTCCTTATTAATATTTGAAGTAATTATTCAATATTATTTGTCAGTTAGCTTTTCGCTTTTCGTGATAGTCACAAAAATATTTAAAAAGTGCTCTCTTGAGAAAGTTATGTGACTAAACACACTGACTTGAAACTTCACCGAATCACTGCCGATAACGAAAATACTGGTACAGGTAAAACAAACCAAGACACGACTTCACTCTTCACTGTACACCCACATCCCTCCACAATTAGATGCACAGCACTTGTAGAACTCGAAAAAACGTTAAAATTTTTTTTCATTTCACACAGGAAACAATCTTCTTCGGTATCAGGCAACTCTTAATAGTACTTCAAGATGTTGCTGCGAGAGCGAATCTTGAATAAATAATTATGGAAATAAACCAGAAAAAAATTTAATAGAATGTTTAAGAATATCTCGTCCTTTAAATTATGTTTTGAGGAACGTTTCTTTGAGGACTTTCGAAATTTGAATTTTTAAGGCCGTAGAACACTTAGTTTAGAAGTTATTTAACGAGATACCCGACAGTGCACTTGACATAAATATTTAGATGAGTTTTTTTTAACAAATCCTTCATATTTTTTAAGTCAAAATGCAATTAGTCTTGTCTCCGTGCAATTCTTTTTCTTTAGAGATCTCATTTATAAAGATTGGTTGCGTGTGAGAACCGCAAAAGATATGTACTGCTAGTGAAATAATATAGGAGACGATTATGACTAGAAGTACCAGAAGTGATCTCACAAGGATTTTTCTAATGACACATTTTATTCTTATATACAAAAAAATATTTGGGATTATTGTGCAAAAAGTCTTTGCGCTCGCTTAGTGATCACTTACGAAGTAGTTTTGCCAACAAACATTTTCAAAAATAGAATTTCCCTAGAATGAATAACGATGGCAAACATTCCCTCTTCTATACATACCGTGCCACAGTCGTAATTCACTTTGGATATGTGTATCCGTAAATGCAAATAGCTTGTGAACTGATGAACTTCGAAACGATGGTTAGTTCCATTACCATAAAAATAGCCTATTTCAAAGGACTGGAGTGAAGAAGCCACAAAAGGTCAGGCGGGATGCAGGAGGTTAGTGCCAAGAGGCGGGTTCACGGGGTTTCAAGAACCCTGATGCAAACGACACAAATTTAAAACAAAACATAGCTTTTACGAATTTTCTATGTTAAAATAGGTGAATTATTTATATTATAAATATTAAATATAAATTAACAAACAAAAATATATTTCATATTCAGCATAAATGATTTTTATAAGAAAACATTAGTCGGCTGGACACTTTACCCCTGTGTTATGCTGTTAATAATAAATATGTTTGAATATTTGCATGAGTATTCAGATTGATTTCTTTCTATTACGTGAAATTATTTACAATAGAATGTGTCACAGAAAAAACTAGAACCACTCGAGTGATTGATCCCAAATTTGAGAATAATACTTTCTATGTAATAGATTCTGTGAAATTTATTTCCGATGCGCTTACTCTGCATTTACCTCTCGGGTCTCTTCCATGACCTACGTATTCCTATTTGGGAACCCGCGCTCCTTTCTGGCCAATTAGCTTGGCGTCAACTTCCCGCTGAACGTCTTCCCTGTTAGTCACGTGTGTTTATGTGCCGCGAGTCCTTCCGCTGGGAAATCGGTACTCTTGCGCTAATAAACCCATTACCGTGAGATGCCATCGTTAACGGCAGCAGCCACAGTGGATAGCCGCTGGGTAACCACCGCAGTGGATGGCCGATTTGCAGCTACAATTACTATTAATATAAGTCGATGTTAGACAATTGCAAATTATTTTCACTATTTCTTAACATCTATTTTCGGTTCTTCAATCACACTTCTTCGTTTTGGGAATAATGAATATATTTTGTTTTCTTCATTGGGTTTGTGATTTCCTTGTTTCACCCTTAACTTGACCTTCTTCGTTTCCTTCTTTCTCTGAGTTACCTTTTCCAATCAGGAGCTCTTTTTCGTTCATTCCTTAGAAATTTCTGAATCAAAAAAGTAGCCTCTTTTTAACTTCACTGTTATAGAATCGAAAGTTGAGAAACAATTGAACTGTATACGTTACTGAATCGGAATTGGATTAATAAATAGTATCATTTTACAAAGTTATTTCCTTTTCATTTTGTCATCATAACAAAAATAATTTCCATCAAGCATCTCCAGAAGCACGGGAGTTTGAACACAGCATCCGCATTGACGAATTTCGTTTGGATTTCAAACAGAAATAAGTGTGAGGTACATGACAGGTATATTGTTTTGTAATTTTTGGGTGGTTGTTTTTAACTTGCAAGAGATCGAATAACATTGGTGACTACGGCATCATCAATTATTATAGAGCCAGCAGTTGCTGTGTCATAACGGCGTTCAAGAAAGAAATGCTCGGTCTAGTTTAATGTGGTACCACGAAGTGTAAGCAAGACAGTGGTAGCCAAATTGGTTATTATTTATTGGAAAAAATGACAAATACCTCATTTTTCTGTACATATTGCATCCCAATTGGGCTGTGGCTCTTCTGTACTCGGGTAAATGTATGAAAAAATTGTTCATGCAAATCAAGCAGTACGAACACAACATCGCTACTTATTTCAGGCCAGAATTGTAATGTATTGAGTACTTCACTATCTAAACGCTAGGTGGTTCTACCTAAATTTCTTTCGTCTAGACAATTGCAGTGCATTGCCTATACAAATCTCATGCGCGTATTTTGAGTCATTACCCCTATGTATTTAACGTCAGAACCACCTTTCCCGGTTGCCTGGCTGGCCTCGTGACGCCGTCTGAGGCGGGTTTCCGTGGCACACTTCCGGTACAACTACTCAGCTGGGTAAATCTATTCAGAGTGATTTCCCAATTTAACATCTAAACCTGGCGCAGAGGTAGCTTATGACCTCATCTTGTTCTAGAACTTATCTAATTCCCTAGGTAATACGTTGGTACATCTCCGAGTTTGTACCTTTTTATAGGATTAAGGGGTTGGTTTTCTTAATTTCGCCGCCTTACGGCGACGATTGAGGTGCTCTGAATAATAAAGGCAGGAAATTGAAGTTCGTTCTGAGAAAAATACCTTTTTCTGTTTTCGTTCACTTTCACTAAAATTGTTGCAGGTCAAATTTGTGGGTTTTGCCATATCCAGATATTTCAGCATACGATAGATATAAGGCAGGAGTTTACCGTCATATTTCTAACTAAAACTGCGCGCTCCATTGGGATCTGCCGTTATAATTCTGATCGCCTCAATTGTGATTGGCATAATACGTCGTGAATAGGACAGGAACAAGGCTGGAAGGTGATATTGTAAGCGACTGGAAATAACCTGTCATGAAAACATCCCTCCCTTTCACGGGATTCGAACCCACAAGCCTCATGTCTGCCTATCCTCCCCCCTCCACGCAACGGGTTGGCTACAGATTGACCGTTCTCTGAGACTAGTGTAGTTCATTTGAGGAAAATAAAAATGTAAGTAAATAGCAATTACGTATGACAAATGTGGTTCGATGTGTACTACGTGAAGACAAGCTTCATTAGCGGCAGCGGCAGTGGTTTCAAATTACAAGGAGAGGTGAAGACAGCGACACTTCCCCCGCAGCAACACAATGCCCAAGCCGTGTATTTTTCTGGCGGAAGACCTACGAACCTCGGCAATGATAATGAAACATATCGCGCCATTACGTTTTCCTTGCTTGTCCTTGTTTCTTACTTATTTTTTAGTCTTCACTGTAGTTAGAAAAAACGGAGACTCAAATGAGTCGTATTATACAATGGCCTTACGTAGTGGAATGTACGTAAGAGATAGAGCACGGGAGCTCTGTAATTGTTATTTTAAGAAAAAAGGAAAAGATTCAGGAGTTATTACATTGTCTGTTTTTGATATTATTTTCTTCGAAACTCAGTGTTTATACTTTCATTTAGATACAAAGACGAAAATTTCAGGGAAAGTATAATGCAAACGCAATCATATTTGCTAATTTTATGAGTATTCTAATTTCATTATACGCAGATCAAAAGAGACAATTTTTCATAAACAAGGAAAATTTACATCTAAATATTTCGATCACTAATAATTTTGTGTTGACTCCAACGTATATAAAAGACTAAGTTTAATTTTCTGACTAAAATTTTATACAGTTAATAAAGAAAGAAACATGGTATTATTTTAGGGTGAATAATTTCACACTAAAATAAATGTCGTATTTTAATGATAATAATTTTAATGATACGGGAGAATAATACTTGTTTACTTCTTTATTATTTTAAGAACGTTAAGACGTTAAGAATTTCGATTAAGCAAACCTGTAAGTATTGGAATAGATGTTTTCAGTTACAAAGTTGTGTATTCGTGTGTTTTGAATTTACAGTATTGTAACTTAATAGTTTATATCAATTATTTCCCTAAAAGTATGTATTTATCACACATTGCTGTTGAAACAATTTCTCCATTGCATCTGTTTACGTTTTGAAAAATGTCTCTGGATTAAAAAGAACAACGTACTGGCACTTACGTTTGCGAACCAATTCTTTTCTACACAAACCCGAAACACTTCTTTCGCGAAATTATATTAAAAATATTCTCGTTTCCCTGTCGTAATAATATTATTTCATCACGATTTTCTATTTAATAAATACATTTTATTATTCTTACATTACTTATATATAGGATGATTCAGCCCTCGTTGCTAATATGCCGGGACCTTATTCCATATGTAACACAGGCTAAATTTGCCAAAATAGAACACTCTTCGTCGTTTCATTGTGAAAATAGTTAACGTTAAACTTTGGACTATGCGTTTATGCTCGTGTAACACAGGCTATGGCAAGTGAGCAAGCGGCTTTATCTCGCGTCTTGCAACTTCTTTGGAAAACTCAATTGTTAATACTATCCGAGAAACCCCGGAAGCGAGCAGAAGGCGAATAACGCGCGACGTCAAGGCAACACAGTCAGGCGAATAATTCATACTCAGAGATTACTTTTCCATTTCCAGCAGGTGCAACATTTGCGCTGTAGATACTTACAACGTCGTTTTCAATTCTTTAGACATTTTCTGATCAAAAGTAATGAAAACCAGTAATTTCGTTCTTTGGTCAGACGAAGCGTGTTTAACAAGAGCTGGCACAATTAATGTGTGCAATTTGCATGAGAGGGCCGAGGAAAACCCGCATGTTGCACTTAGTGTAGCTCACCAAGAGCGATTTTCTGTAGATGTGTTGGTTGGCATTGAGGATGAATTTATCCTCGGTCCTCATTTCATGTTTTTTCATACGACCCGTTGGATTATACCAGATTCAAGATACTGTAACAAGTTTCCTTGTTACAGTATCATGGATCTGGTAGACTCCAACAGTTCTTTTTTTTCGGTGACCCGAGCGTTTAAGACGCGTTCGGTGTCTGAATTTTATAGCTAAGGTACTCTCCAAGCTTTTGGAGCTGGCGAAATGAAAGACCGCGTTTATGCTACCGACTTCAAGAATCGTGATGACCTTCTTCGGAGCATTGAAAGCATGGTGACAGAAATGAAGCTATACAATCCGGCAAAGTTATGCGTGTCACAGAGGCCATGCGGTGCATAAGCCTATCTTGAGTTCACGCAAGAGAAGGCCATTTTGAATGCTTCCAGGACACTTTGTCCACTTTATGTTGTCCACTGTTATAAGGTCCGCTATACTTTGGTCCACAAATATTTCGTCCACATTCTTTGACCATAAATAATTCGTCTATTGTGTATGTGACTATTCATTATACGTCCACAAGCATTGAGTCCATTTTCTTTTGTCCACATTTTTTGTTCTTTTTCTTTGAATATTATAGAAATGTATGTCCACAAGTTTAATAATGCACTGTGTTGTAATATCGGCGTTAATGAATAAGAAATTATTTTGGAAACGACATTTTTACTTCGTTCATCTAAAAAAAATTAATACAAATATTTATGCAATTTATATGTATCAGTTTCTTCAGCACAAATGGAAAAACATCTTATTAGCGTTGTGAATATCTGCAATGCCCGTCTCGTCACAAACAAAAATGTAAATTATCATATCCAATATATAAAGAAGGTCAGCATATTCTAGTGGAAAATGAATCTTAAGGTCCGTGCATAGAGAGTGGTCAGAGAAATTAAAAGAGGTAAATGAACCTCCTGCATGCGTAATAAGAGAAGAAGTACAGGGTATAGAAGATTAGGAAGTACTGCTGCATTCACCCCGGAAAAACTGCTTTATTGCATAGGGTCAACCAATCACAGTATACAGGTATGCCCGGAATGTAGGGTATAAAATAAGATCAATTCCTCTTATTACAACTCGCTGGCTCTCATAGGCAAATCAGATATCTCATTAAAAATTGTATATTATAAATAACGTCAAAATGAAAAAATGTATACATATATATCAAGAATATGTCGAAAATATTAATATAGATTTATATTTGGGTAGTATTAGCTACAGAATGAAGTTATATAATATTGAAGGAAACGATGGAGCAGTATCAAATATTTAATTGTATAATATTTGTAGCTCAAAAAATGTGTATTTCTTTTACAATGAACTAAAATTATTGTGGACTAAAACCTTATAAAATGGGCGCAATGATAGTGGACATTTCAATGTGATTGACGTCAAAGCTCAGTGGATCATTCTGATATGTGGACATAAAAAGTAGACAACATTTTATGGACATCCCATGTTTCTGGAATAAAATTTGAAACGGACTAAAATGCATAGTGAACGTAAATAAAGTGAACGAAATGCTTCTGGACAATATGTCTGGGAATCTTTTGAAAACTTGTAGAGCCTCTGTAGAGGAGAAAATGCTAAGTTTTGCCAGTATAGCAAAAATATGATAAACTTAAATGATGTCGTAGGCTTCCGCGGCCAGAGTCATGATCTGGGCTGTCCGGGTGACGCCGCGTCGATGGCTGATGTGCCGACGTTAGAATATGATAAACTTCCTCATTTAACACTTGTTTAACTTTAACAATTGTTAACACTTGTTAACAATTGTTTTTCTCCCTCCTTTCATTTTTGTTAAATAAAAAAACAATAATAGCAACAGGTAACAATATTTAATGTGATACCTGGACTACATTTTTTGAAAAATATGATCAATTACAAAACGCTTTTTTTCAAAATTTTGAGTAGGGTTTACACTATTTTCTTTCGCACTCATGAATAACTTGAGTACCCTATCACCGGGTTCTGTAGAGCAACAAGAACTAAATCACCTGTATTAATCTAGATTGACTATTTCCTTTTGTAGCCATCAGAATTAAAGACAGAGGATTCTGAAGTATTCGAATTAAAAGTTAATGAAAACAAGATTACACCCATATTAATAAATCACAATAACATCAAATTGCCACCCATTACGTCATTAACATGCAAAAAATATAGCATGTTTATTTTCCATCACACTTACCATGGAGCGCCTTCAAATAGGCCTTGCCCGCATTGATGAGCTGCCGAGCCCCAGGGTTGAATTTTTCCAGAATATTCTGAAACACAAAAGAACAAAATTGATCACACATATGAAGAGTTGTAAATACAAAAATAACAAATCTTATAATTTATCCTTCTTGAAGAGTGTCACCAAGCCTTTTATGGTATCTTGCTGAAAAGAAGCTAGATGTTGAGTTTCTTTATATTTCTCACATTACTTGCACATTTATAATTCTCTTATTTTTATTCTTAACACAACGTGGAATAATATACTTAACTTATTTTTAAAATGTATTAATTTATGGTCAGTTTATAATGTCAAGGTCTTCAGCGACCCCTGTCGTTATACAATTGTATGTATAAACATAATAGTTACAATTATGTCAAGATCAAAAATGTTAAATTTGATCACATTTTCACAATATGTTGTGTTTAATCTAACTACAGTTCTAATACATTTGCAGCTATATAAGGCTGTCCAGTTTTGTAGTTGCTACGAATTTTATTGTTTTGGTGCACCCGTCTCCGGAAATGAGTAATGATTGTAGAGTTCTTTCAATTTTTAGAAGTTTTATTATATTTTCAGTAGAGGGCATTCAAGAATAAGGTAGGAGATGAAGACTGCTGCACCACACTTTGGACAGGGTTCTGGATCTGATCTCTTAAATACATGTCAGAAATTGAGATTTAAATGATCTATCCTTAATCTAGTGATTACAACTCTGTACTCTTAAAATATTTTCCGGGGAGAGTTGGGTCAAAAATATATTATTGGTATTGTGGTGAGTTTTTGTTGGCATTTACAATGAAATAATTATTTGAGTTCTCATTGCCAACAATACTGTTTATTACAAAAGCAGCTTTCGATGGCTTAGCCATCATCATCATCATCATCATCAGTTTTCTGCTGTATGGAAGCCATTGGGTAGTGATATGGCTCCAATACAGCAGAAAACTGATAATGATGACTAAGCCAACGAAAGCTGCTATTATAATAAACAATATTGTTGGCAATGACGATTCATAATTATTTCATGAATAGATTCTCACTAAATGGAGTTTGAAACATTCAATCTCTAGTTAGAGATCCAATAACTGAGGCAAAAATCTTTTACAATCTTTTGAAATCCTTCGAAAATACCTTGAATTTGGTTGTCAGCGCTAATTGATTTAGCTAGTTAAGCGACTACATGAGCTTTCTTTTTACAAATGATTTTACTTCGAGGGAACCATATTATTTCTATTTGGTTCCCATTTATAGCTTCCTTTTATAGAATTTCCTGAATTTTTTAGGGTAATTGGACTGGAAGCGAATCTTTTGTCAATGGCTTTCAGAGTTGGTAGCGAGTCTGAATAATTTGCAATGGGAGTAACTTTTGGAGTCTTACCCCTGAGTATAATAGCTTGAAGAACTGCCCACGCTTCGCAGGTAGCAATGGAAAAGTAATCTAGGAGGCGGCAAGTGTCAATTTTATTAATTGATGACTAGAATATGTTGTTATATTCTTGAAGTATTGTCGATATTCTTTCTTCTATCATATTAATAGGGTCAGTGATGTTTATTGCGTTTTATTGGGTTTAAGCGAGGTCAGTGTTAGTTGGGATATTAAAGTTTTGCCAGGGTAGGATGGGATGATTGCGTCTGGGAATACAAAGAGGATGGGCGATATTGAATTGTTCTAGATATTTAGGGAGTCTCGCTCTGAGCGGTAATGAGAGCTGTGATCTGGACGCATATAAGATACGCTGAAAGTTGTTAAATATAATTGAATTAGGGGTTTGGAGGAATGCTGAATATCGAGTAGGACGTTTCTTCTTACTTCCAATGGTAGTTGTGTCGGTTCTACACGTAGACTGTTACATAGGCTGGTTCTAAAGGCACCAAGGCTTCCAAGGCTTAAACGGCAAGCATTGTTGATCACAGGGTTTAGGGTATTCAGAACTTTGTATTGAAGCTGACTTGTTGACTATTGCCCCATAATCTAGTTTAGATTGAATGAGAGCTTTATATAGGTTGATCAAGCATTCGAATTGTATTCCCCATTTAATGGGCGAAAACTTTTTGATAACATTTAGTCGCTTTTTACATTACACCTGAAGAGCCGTTATATGCTGTTTTTAGGAATGTTCGGAAATTAATATTATGTACAGAATTTTGCACACATCAGACCTTTTAAGTTGAAGATCACTCAGTTTTAGAAGAACTTCGAAATCGTCATTTCGACTTCTTGTGAACACTATAAACCCTTATTTAGTCTTCAAGATAGTAATTCCTGCATCGGTTGACCACTTGGTGATTCTATTTACCGATTCTTGCATAATCCGTTTAGTAACCTTAAGGTTTTTACCACTACCTAGCAAGGTAATATCATCTAGAAAAATAAATGCTTTCACTGGTTTTTCTATTGTACTTCTCGCCTCATTAATAATTAGAAGGAATATTGGAACATTAAGGACAGATCCTTGTGTTCAGGAACAGTAAGGACAGCCCATTTAACATCCTTGTAAGATGGGATGAACTGTCTAGAATTTTTACTCTGAGGTATCTGTTTTTTAGGAAATTGATAATGAATGCTAACATATTTCCTATTATATGTGATTTAGCAAGAATGGATATAAGTCTATTTTTATACACCATTTAATATGATTTTTCAATGTCCATTGAAACCACTAGTGCATGTTTCATAGCTAGGGCATTACATATTATAGTATCGATATTTACCAGGTCATTTGTTGATCTAAAGGATAGGAAGGAGATTTGGTATAGTGTGATTAAGTTGAGGTTTTCCAGTATCAATTTAAGGCGACGACAAACCATCTTCTCTAATATCATACAAATGTTATTTGTTAAGGAGATTAGGCGGTAACTAGAGAGTGATCTTTATTGCATTTGGGTATGGCGATAACATAAACTTCTCTCTATTGGTCGGGAATGTGTTAAGTCCAAATATAATAATAAATGCGAAGTAAATATTGAAGTCCAACTTCAGGAAGATTCTTCAAAAACTGTTTGGGACTTTATCGGTCCCAGATGCAGAATTTTTTCTTTGATCTACTACATAAAGACGTTCTTACATAAGGAAAGGTTTGTTGTAGTGTTCGTTATTGTCCCTAGTTAATAGTATAATGTTATTATGACCTAAATTTCTGCTTAAGGGGTGTGTGGATAGAAACGTTAGCTCACAATTATTGCTATCTGAATTATGAGCAAACGTTTTCTCTAAAAGGTTACACAAAGTTTGAGATTCAACATGTTTTAAACCATTACTGCCAATAAGATATTTAGAAATAGTGGGACTATTTCTTTCATTAGTGGCTTTTACTTTATGCCATAACTCTGATATATGAGATCGATGTGTGACGGATGAGGTGAGATTTTGCTATGATTTGATCATTTTGGATTTGATAGTATTGAATTAGTACTGATTATTAATTGATGTGACAAGACACTAAGACACAGCTGATAACACTGATACTTTAACTTTGTCCTCTACGTCGTTCACAAGAATTTTAAATTTATTTTGTGTTTTAGTATTGTGTTACGGATTAATATTGCCCAGTCATTGAGTTTCATAATGCTAAAACTTGCAAAAACAATTAGCTGACATTGATCTTCACGACCAACATGTTGAAAACACAAACAGACAAGTCACTTTCAAAACCTCTCCATGATTTACACATACGAAAACATAATTAATCTCTTGTGTAGCATGATTTTCCAGTTGCATGCGCAGCACAGCGTACTACTAAAGGAAATATAACTTTTACGAATTAGAGCTTTAAGCGTATGCAATAGAATAAATTAATTCTCAAAATACACGTTGTTATGCCTTGATCACTTACTGAACTTCCCTTTTTTGAGATACCGGAAATATTATCTACAGTAGAGTTAGATATGTTCCACAGTTTAGCGCTTAATATTCAGCATGCTCGTTTCTCAATTTTGTTATTGTGATTTTACGATTTTACTAATTTAATCTATGTATTTATGATGCCCCACGTTGGGCAGCCTATTGTGATACTCTTGTGTTTAACTAATTAACTTCCACTAGTTATGTTGCCCTGGTAATATTACATTTATTACAATAATGATTAATTGCAATACTATTCCAAACAATTGAATACAATACAATACAACACAATACATTAAATACAATACTTTTCCAAACATTTCATTAGTTTTACAAACCTGGGTTCGACATATAACACTTTACCTTCTTATTTTATTATGGAGGAGAATTTTATTATGTGGAGTTGCAATTCAGTACAGAGTCGCAATTCCTGGAGGTTCTTCTCCGCTGTATTATTTTGTTATAAAAAATTGATGGCAACATCTACAAATTATCAGCCTTTTTACTTTTTTGGGTAACAAAGAATTGACATTTATTCTGAAGATCTGAATATCGTTTACTATTAGTCTTTGATATAATTAATGATTTATCTATTGACTATATATTATCATGACTATATAATGTGTGTAGTCACAAATTCCGTACGATGTTTTTCGTAAGCTTAGGAAATATCTTCCACGCAGGTCTTGATGTCTTCCGTCCGGATGCCGTCTATTGAATGTCCTCACGATGCTCCTGCTATCATCGTAAATTCTGGCAGCTGGAGCATTTTTGTAATAACCCCGAGAATTCTGTTTAATAATAATATACTATAATTAATTAATGCAATCCGAGAATGCGACTTTTACTTCCTGCGCCTCGGATGAAGCGCCTACTTGCGACTGCCTGCCTGTCATTTTATTAACTTAAAACAATATGCATGCCCAGTTACGAATATATTCTACATTAACTCCCCACGTACCGTCTATTTTACATGGACCCCAAAATCACAAATTACAACACAAGCTACGAATGACGCCCTCAAATTACAAATTATATACTATACATGAAAAAATGACTCAATTAACATAAGTTTTCCCGTTTCCTAACATCAAAATATTACCCAGCCTAAGTCTGCAAAATTATTGCCGTCCAATTCTATTGCTGTCAAGAGAAAGAGACGGGCCCATTCTAAGTAATTGACGAACCTAGGTTTTCAACGCAGT